AGTCCCAGCTACTCAGGAGGCTGAGGCAGGAGGATCACTTGAGCCTAAGGGTTTGAGGTTGCTGTGAGCTATGACGCCATAGCACTCTATCCAGGGTGACAGTGAGACTCTGTCTTAAAAAATACTTTATACTGCTCATTAGAATTTCAGGTTCTTCTCTTCTATCCCATCCTGCTGCCCATGATCTTAGTAGTGAAGATAAATCAAGAGAGTACCTCTCTCTGGATTTCTCACTCTTGTCTCCTTTCTACCTCTTTCTTCTAATGACCCAACGTGGATAGATAAGCTGAGAGAAGTGTTCAAAAGTGATAGTTGCTAGTAATTTTAGAAGTAGACTTTTGTATAATTTCAATATTTAATTTTCTTACTATTCGTAGAAATGTTATTATGCCACAGTCTATAGAGTATCCAGCATTCTTATCTCCAGACCTGCATGTTACCTTTGGGACACCAACTGTGCAGTCCCCTGACCCACCAGCTGCAGTAAAACTCGAAAAACTTCAACAACCACCTCGGGAAAGGTAAACAAACAACAGCAAAAACAAAAACACAAAACCGCATAAGTTTTCATGTTATATATATTTTTTATAATGTTGATTTCTCCCTTTCTCCATCTGAGGCATGGGCCTGCTGTTAGTCCAGAAACTTTCTTTATGGTGCTATTTCATGAGTTCAGAGATTATTCCTGATTTTTTGCTTAGCAAATTCAGGTATTTTATTTGACAAAGTTGATGTTACTGCAAAAAATGAGGTGAAAAGTCGTTTGTAAGGGAGAAAGTATAATACTTGCTCTGTTTTCTCATTCAATAAGCATAGAACACTTATGCTTTTTTTTCTATATTTCTCATCCTTTTTTCTCTATGCTTCAGTATAGATATTTTCTTCTGAATTATATTCTAGTTTACTGGTTCCTCTTTATTTCTAATATGCTGTTAAACCAATTTAATTCTTAATTTTATTTCTCACTTATAGAATTTCCCTTCATTTTTATAGTTGCCACTTCTCTGCCAAAATCCACAGCCTTGTCTTCTAACTCTTTGGATATATTAATCACCATTTTACCCAGCTTAGGCTGCTATAAGAAATACCATAGACTAAGCAAATACTATAGGCTTAAGCAACACACATTTATTGCTCATAGTTCTGGATGCTGGGAAGTACAAGGTCTAGCTGCTAGCTGATTTGCTTTCTGCTGAGGGCCGTTTTCCTGGTTTGCATATAGCTGCCTTTTTGCTGTATCCTTACCTTATGTAGAGAGAGATCGTCTACGTCATGTCTGTTGTCATAAGGGCACTTATCCCATTCATGAGGGCTCTATCCTCCTGACCCAATTACCTTCCAAAGTCCCCACTCCCAACATCATCACATAGAGGGGTAAGGCTTCAACATATGAATTCTGGGATACACAATCATTAGTCCATAGCAGTTTTTGCTATTTTTAAGTCAAAGTCTGATCACTGCATTTTCTGCATCTCCTGTAAGTCTGTTTCTCTTTACTGGTTTTCAGTAAAATCTTACATTCTCATATCCCTGGTTATTTCGATTGAATGCCAGACAATGTATTTGAAAATTTGTAAAACTAATTTGAGGCTCTTGGTTATAAATTTGTATATATAGCAAAGGCATACATTTGCATCTGGCGGCCAGCTATGCTTAGAGCACTAGCAATCCTCGGTCACCTTAATTCAACTGAAATTGGGATTTTAAATAATTTGAAACTGGCTTTAGTTCTAGGGGGCAGGAGCTTGTCATGTTTCTGGTTTACTGTTACTCCTAATGTCAGGATTGGAACTGGTACAAGGCACAAGAGATGCACTTAATTCTCTTATAGCCTTTTGGGAGTCCCAACTGAAAGTCTGAGTGTTTACCAGGATCTCTCACCCTGGGAAAGTCCCTGAACTCTGGCTTTTGTTCCTTTATTCTTGTATGTCTGTCTCAAAGCCTCTGCTTAGAGTCTTACCCTCTTGGCCACCTCAAAGCACAGATGCTTTGAAGGAAAAATGTGCACCAAATGATAGGCAGACTGATTCTGGGCTTCCTTTATATCAGAATCTTGGATCATAATCTTGGATCTACAAATCTTCACTGCCTTTATAACTCACTGATACTATCAAACAAAATTTAAAAAATTATTTTGTCCAGCTTTTATAAATATGCACTGAGATGACTAATCTGAAATAATTTCATCCAGAAGCAGAGCTGCTAACCATTTGAAAAATAAGTGTGTATATGTGTATGAACTCTTTACTCAGATTCATAAATTAATTCATAAACATAAGCTGAATGACAAAAGAACCCTCTTTTTCTTTAGTCTGACGTTCTATTAATCAAAAAAAAATTTGATGGAGCTGGAAAATATTCTTCTTAGCAAAGTATCTCAAGAATGGAAGAAAAAGTATCCAATTTACTCAAGCCTATTATTAAACTGATTTATAGCTATCATAGGAAAATTATAACCCAATTTTAGCCCAAGAATACGGGGAAAGAGGAAAGGGAGGGGAGGGGAGAAAGGATGGGTGGAGGGAGGGTGATTGGTGGGATCACACCTATGATTTATCCTATAAGGGTACATGTGAATCTTACAAAATGTAGAATATAAATGTCTTAACACAACAACTAAGAAAATAACTTGAAGGCTATGTTAACCAGTTGGATGAAAGTATTCCAAATTGTATATAGAAACAACCCACTGTACCCCCATGATAGTATTAATGTACACAGCTATGACTTAATAAATAAATAAATAATTCAACAAACATTTATTAAATATCTGGTATATATCAGGCACTATGCTAGGTACCACATATACAATGGTAATTTTAAAAAACAGCACTTTTCCTCTAACTTACAGTGAATGGAGACAAAGATTAATAAACGGGTGGTGCCTGTGGCTCAAAGGAGTAGGGTGCAGGCCCCATATACTGGAGGTGAAGGGTTTGAACCCAGCCCTGGCAAAAAGCTGCAAAAAAAAAAAAAAGTGAAAAAATATATGTTTAATTATAAATTAATAAATAAATTATGAAGGTATTAAAGAGATGGTAGAAAAGTAAAGGTGACTGATATTTTTAAGAATTGTCAGAGAAGACATTTGAGGTAACATTAAAGGAAAAAAGGAGTTGGCATATCAGAGATCCAAAGTTAGGGAATTACTGTGTGAATATATGTGAAAGCTCTAAGATAAAAAAAAGGTTTGGCATATACTTAAAAGAAGCAGCAAGCCATTGTAGATGGAGTAGGAATTGGGGGTAGAGACCAGATTATTTAGAGATTTGTAGACCATAGGAATCAGGGGTAGAGATCAGATTATTCAGAGACTAGTAGATTTTATTCTAAGAGAAATAGGAAGCCATTACAAGTTTTTACATTATCTTTTTAATATAATATTTAATAAAACAATACAATCTGTGATATTAATGTAAATTGTATACAGCATAATGTAATGCCATCAACCAGTACTCACCTAACCTAGAACCAAAACATTATAGGTAAATTCTATTTAATTATGAATTTCTCCCCATCTCATCCTCCTATTTCCCAAAAGTTAACTAATTCTATGAATTTTGTTTTTATTTCTTTTTTTTTTTTTTTATTGAATGGTAACTGTGTACATTGATGCACTTTGGGGGTACAGTGTGGTGTTTTCATACACAATCCAAGACACTTCCATCAAACTGGTTAACATAGCCTTCATGTAACTTTCTTATGTTTTTATTTCTTGCCTTTTGAAAATTACTTTAAAAAATCATTTATGTAGAATGCTTAAATAATACATTATTTGGTTTTGCTTATATTAATCATTATTAATGCTTGTAAAATTCATCTATGCTGTTTTGTGGTGTTCCATTTTATGAATATGCTGTAACTTAATTTTCACTTATTTATGAATGGTCATTAGGTATATTGCCTTTCTATTGCTGCTTAATAAATTGTCACAAACTTGTTTAAAACAACATCACTTATTTTTCCTAGGTCAGAAGTTGGGGAAGTCAGGGAAGAGTGTGAATGGGTTCTCTGGTCAAAATTTCACAAGGCTAAAATCATGGTGTTGGCTAGCAGTGTTATTATTTGGAGGGGTCCTCTTTCAAGTTCATTCAGAGTGTTAGAAAAAAATTAGTTTCTTATGATTGTAGAACCTAAGGATTCTTTCTTCTTCTTTTTTCTTTTGGGCTGGCTTTCAGCTTCTACAGCTCATTCTCAGATCCTAACTATGCGACCCTATCACAGCATAGTAGTTTGCTTTCTCAAGGCCAACAGGCAAATCACTGTTCATACTTAAAATCTCTCTCTTCAGGAATGACCAAGTTCCTTCTAAAGGTGACCTTGACTAGGTCATGCCCACCCAAGATAGCATCCCTTTTGATTAATTCAAAGGAAACTAATTTGGAACCTTAATTACATCTACAAAATTACATATTTTTTGTCAAATGATGTAATGTAATCATATACATAAACTGTGTTATATTCCCACACTCACACAAAAAGTGAGGGCATTATGTAGGGAATGTATAACAGTGATGGGGATTTTTAAATTTTATTTTCTATTTAATTGACACATAATAATTGTACATTTATAAAACACAGTGTGATGCTTTGATACATGTGTACTTTGCATAGTGATCAAATCAGGATAATTAGTATGTCTGTTACCTCAGACACTTATCACATCTTTGTGGTGAGAACATTAAAAATCTTCTCTTCTAGAGAATCACTTGAGCCCAAGGGTTTGAGGTTGCTATGAGCTATGCTGCCACGCCACTCTACTGGGGGCAACAAAGTGAGGCTCTGTCTCCCCCCAAAAAAACTTCTCTTCCAGCTATTTTGAAACATACAATACATTATTGTTAACTATAGTCACCCTACTATCCAATAGTAGAACAGGACTATTTCTCCTAACTGTGATTTTGTATGCACTAACTTTTCTGTCTGCCTACTGTTCCTAGTCTTTGGTAGAATATTAAAGAACTCAAACAACTCAGCAACAACAATAATAATAATCTGATTAGAAAATGGGCAAAAGACCTGAAAAAACATTTCTCCAAAGAAGACATACAAGTCTGAGGACATTAGCTCATGCCTCTAATCCAGTGGTTCTCAACCTTCCTAATGCCATGACTCTTTAATACAGTTCTTCATGTTGTAGTGACCCCCAACCATAAAATTATTTTCGTTGCTACTTCATAACTGTAATTTTTCTACTGTCATGAATCATAATGTAAATATCTGATATGCAGGATGTATTTAGGTGACCCCTGTGAAAGGATCATTCAACCGCCAAAGGGATCATGACCCACAGGTTGAGAACCACTGCTCTAATCCCACCACTTTGGGAGGCTGAGGCAGGAGGATCATTTAAGACCAGAAATTTGAGACCAGCCTGAGCAACACAGCAAGACCCTGTCTCTACAGACGGCTTATACGTGTAGTCCCAGCTACTTGGAAAGCTGAAGTACGAGGATCACTTAAGCTCAGGATTTTGAGGTTGTGGTGAGCTATTTTCCCACCACTTACTTCAGCCTGGGTG